TAGCCTGAGATTATAATACATTTCCTTATGGTTTCTTTTAGTCCTTTCATGGCTTTTCTTTCTCTTTTTTTAACACATAAAGGTTTTTAAAAATATTTTTAAATTTTTAATTCATTAATTTTTTATCTCATGTCAATGAGTGTTTTGTCCACAGGTATGTAACTGCACCTGTGTTGAGTGGTGCCTGTGGAGTCCAGAAGAGGATGTAGGATCCCCTGGAACTGGAGTTACAAATGATTATTAACTGCTGTCTAGGTTTTGGGAATGAAACCCGTGTTCTCTGCAAGAGCATCCAGTGCTCTCAACCACTGAGCCACCTTTCCAGCCCCAGTTAAAGTTTCTAAAAATATTTTATGTGTATAAGTGTATTGCCTGCGTGTATGAAAGTGCACCCATGTCGTGCAGTGCCCATAGAGGTCGGAAGAGGGCATTGGATTTCCCTCGAAATGGAGTTACAGATGGTTGTTAGCTACCGTGTGGGTGTTTTATTGATATTTTTATTCATTTTTTTGAGACAGGGTCTCACTATGTAGCCCTGGCTGTCCTAGAACTCTCTATGTAGATCAGGTTGGCCTTAAATTCACAGAGATCCGACAGCCTCTGCCTCCTGAATTCTGGAACTAAAGGCGTGCACCACCACACCCAGCCTATTACTATTTTTTAATTATGTGTATATGTGGGAATATGTGTACATGAGTGTAGGTGTCCTGGGAGATCTGATATCCCATCCCCTGGAGCTTTAGTTATAGGAACTTATGAGCCGCCTGATGTGGGTAATAGGAATTGAACTGGGGTCTTCTGCAAGAAACCTTAAGCATTGAACCATCTCTCCAGCCCCAACATTTAAAGTTTTGATCTGTTTGGAATTGGCAATGGTGTGGTCACAGTATGGCTGTGGTATAAGGAGTGAAGGCCCAATCCAGCTTTATTGTTTTCTAGATAGCGCCCCAAGTTAACCAATACTTAATCGTAAACTTTTCCCTCTGAACAGAGTTTTAGAATGAATCAGAGCCTGTTATTTAATGGTGTCAAATTTATATCTTCCTAATACCAAGGTTTCCTAGAATGTAATTAGAGAATTTATTTGTTTTTACTAAAAATATATACCAAACTTCTGAGAGTACATTATCCAAATAGAAACATGTGAGTTTGAACAAAAGAAAAGACTTCAGAGCCAAGTGTGATGACTTAAGCCTGTAATCCCAGCATTCGAGAGGCTGAGGCAGAAGAACTGCTGTGAGACTGAGGCCAAATTTGGCTACAGAATGGAACCCCTTCTTGAAAGAAACTGAGATGGGGGAGAAGGGGAAGAAATGGATGGAGGAAAGGAAAGAAAGAAGAAAAATTAATTGAGACAATAAATATGATAAATTAGAGTTATTTAAGTCATATGCTTTTCAGAATATTCTTTAGTGGAAATATTTTGGTAGAGTAGAAAAAATACAGGATATGAAGGCAGGAAACTTGGTGACATTGCTTTTTTTGTCTCAGTCTAGTCTATTCATAATTGAAGAACAATAAGAATTATAACAATAGGAAACAGTTCGCACTTAGTAAATTCCAGGCAACACTTTATCTAAGATCTTGTTAATCATTCAGTCTATATAATTAATAAAAGTCCATATAATCTGGTATGAATTATAAAAACACTAGATATTACTACAAATAAAAATGCCAACAGGCCCCATTAGTTTAGTGAAAGTCAAACCCAGAAACAAATCCAACACTGTTATGAACATATGTGTTCTAAAGTAGTGGACATAGAGCTGAATTGATTGTGTGACAGGCTGGGCTTCTGTGTCTTCCCTTTGCCTTCACACTTGTCTTTGCACAAGCAGCACCCTCCTCCTCCCAATACTTTTCTGGTTTTCTTTCTTGAGACAGGGTCTTACTGTAGCCCAGGCTGGCTTCTAACTAAGGATCCAGGATCCCTCCTGCCTCAGTATCCAATACTGGGATTGCAGGTGTACACTACCATGCCTTACCTCTATAGTTGGATTTCTTCTCTTCTTCTTTCCCTTCTTCCTCCCCTCCCCTCATCTTCCTTAATGTCTCTTTCCTTGTTTCAAGACTGGATCTATTATGTAGACCAGACTGGCCGTAAACTTACAGAGATCACCCTGCCTCTGCCTTCCCAATGCTGGGAATAAAGGTGAGCACAACCATGCCCAGCTTACAGTTGAATTTCTTGAAGTCAGAGCCTGTGCATGACTTCCATCTACATTTTTACACTTGATGATATTGTATGCTATTTCATGAAAGTTCAGAAAGCCTCAATAAGAATCAGAGCCCTGGGGCTGGTGAGATGGCTCAGAGATTAAGAACAGATACTACTCTTAAAGAACACCCAATTTGCTTCCCAGCACCCATATCAGATGGCTCTGGCCTCTGTGAACACCTTCAATCACATGTATAAACCCTTCACATACACATGCACATAATTAGAAATAATAAAAATCTTCTAAAAACAAAGTCGTGATCGCTGTAAAACTAATTTATTCATTGGTTAGAGTTCTCTTTGAATATGTAAGAAGCTGAACTCACAGTAATAAATGTATTGTAAAAGTGTGATCCACAGAATGAAAATTGGTTATTCTAAGCATTTTTACAATTTGCATTTTTTGTTTGGTTAGTTTTAGAGATAAGACTTCACTGTCTAGCTCAGGTGGGCCTCTAACTCATAGCAGTCTTACCTTAGCCTCCTGAGTGCCAGGATTACAAGTATGTCTCACTACTATACCTCCATTGTACCTTTTTCTTTTTGGTGCTGGGGATTGAACATTGAATTTTATTATTTTATTTATTTATTTTGAGGCAAAGTCTCATTAACTCAGACTGGTCTTAAAATTTCTATGAAGCCTAGATGGATGACTTTGAACTTCTGATCCTCGTGCTACCACTTGAGTTCTGGCATTAACAGGCATGAGCCACCATAACTGGTTTTATTTGGTGCTGAGAATTGAACCCAGTACTTTGTGCATGGTAGGCAAGCACTCTACCAACTGAGCTATATCCTCACCCCATGTATTCTATAATGACAACACCAGTTGACAGGCCAACGTGGACTGGGAAAATTTCACAAGGTCCTACCTCTAGATGAAGAACTACAGGCCATTAATGGCTGCTTTGGGAGAGAGAAGCAGTTTTCTCCAGAGACCAGTTACCCGATAGGTTATCCAATCCCAAGTAGTTGGCTCTAAACACATACATATAGGCAACACTAAATGAACCCAACAGGTTATATATGATATGCAACAATAATCAAAGAGGTCAGGAAATTGACAGGGAGTGAGGAGGGACATGGGAAGAATTGGTGGGGAGAGAGGGAGGTATAGAAATGATGTAAATACAGGACTAATGTATAAAATTTTCAAAAACGGGCTGGAGAGATAACTCAACGGCTAGGAGCACTGGCTGTTCTTGCAGAAGACCGGGTTTGAATCCCAGCACCCACATAGAGGCCAACACCTGCCCATAACTCCAGTTCCAGGAGATCCAACACCCTCTTCTGACCTCCATGGGCATTGCATGACATGGGTACATTTACACACATGCAGGCAATACAGTCATACACATAAAATGAAAAATAAATAAATTTTTTTTTAAATTCCCAAAAAAGGTTAAAAAAAAATAAGGTAAATCTTTTTTTTTTTTTATAAAGTCACTCGGGATGTTTCCTAAATAATAATATTGACAACAATGAGGTTAGGAAATAAATATAGAAGTATCGTACTTGACAGACAGACTTCTGCCAGCTACAATTCTCTGGAACACATTCGGGAACCCAAAAGGAATCCAAAAGTCCTGTGAAGTTGGACTCACAGCTCTCACAAATCCTGTGTACTTGACTCAGGAGTGGAGGCATGGTGCTATGAGTGCCAGAGAGTGCTTATTGACTTGGAATTTTCAATGAAATCTCCAAGGACTGCTTAGCAAGTGTAGTCATCCTGCTTCAAGACGTCTTAGGTGTCCCGAGTTCCAGTAGGAAAAAAAAGAGTCTACTATGCACACACAAAAATGATTTATTAATACAACATATACAAACTAAAGGAATAAGAAGAAAGGGTCTCACTATGTAGCCCTGGCTAGCCTGAAGCTCACTATGTAGACCAGGCTGGCCTCAAACTCAAGAGATCCACCTGCATCTTCCTCTCAAGTACTAGGATTAAAGGCCTTCACTTCCACACCCAGCTAATTTTTCTGTTTTTCAAAAAGTCTTTAAAAAAAATGTGTGTATGGGGAGAGGCAATATGCAGATGCCCTGGGAAGCCAGAAGAGGATGTCACATCCCCTGGAGCTGGAGTTACACACAGTTGTGAGCTGCCCAACATGAGTTCTGAGAACCAACCTCTGGTACTTTAAAAGAACACCAAGCGCCCTTAACCATGGGGCCACCCAAGTTTGGTTACCAGCACCCACATAGGCCACCTGTAACTGCAGCTCAAGTGGATTTGCCATCCTCTTCTGGCCTCTGCAGTCACCTGCACACACAAGGCTGTGTTTTCATGAGTGGTATCTCTTGGATTGATCATCACCTTTGAAAGGAGATAATTAATTTGAGAAAGCTACTTTTCTTTAAATATTTATGTGATTTTATCATAGGTGGAAATCCTGAACATGGAAGAAACATGTAAATTTCTTTGTGTAATTTTGTAAAAAGCTAAATAAGGAAGAAGAAAAGGCCAAAAGGCACATTTTTAATATCTTGGGGACCTATTTTAATGCATATGCTTAAAAATATAACATTTATTTACTGTGTGTGGGTGTATGTATGTGCATGTGTATGCATGTGCCCTAGTGCCTGTGTGGAGGTTAGAGGACAACTTTTAGGAGTCAGTTGTCTCCTTCCAGTATAGATGGAACCCAGGTCATCAGACTTGGTTGCAAGCACCTTTACCTGCTGAGTAATCTTGCCAGTCCCAAAATATGCTTTTTGGGGAGTGACTCCAGAGTCCTGAAAATCGGTATCATGTAGTTCTCTTTTTCTCCTTTGTTTCTAGATTGCCAAAATGTTTTGGAGCTTTTAAGTGCATCTAAGAAAGTCCAAAATAGATTTGAGACTGTGAAGACAGAAGCAGCAGCGAGGGGGATTCAGTGCCAATGCATCAACAAAAAAGACAACCAGAGTTAGTGGAAGGAAACCTTCCTGTTTTTGTGTTTCCCACGGAGCTAATATTTTATGCAGATGATCAGTCAACACATAAGCAAGTGTTGACTCTGTATAATCCCTATGAGTTTGCCTTAAAGTTCAAAGGTGAGTCTCCTAGGTGATCTAGCTTATAAATTTTTAACTAGTCCCTACTAATTTTTTACTTGTAGAAACTAATTGATTTAAAAACACTAATGGACATTGTGACTTTTTCTTTCAGTTTTGTGTACTACTCCAAATAAATATGTTGTCGTTGACGCTGCAGGTGCAGTAAAGCCTCAATGTTGTGTGGATATGTAAGTCAAAAAACACTTCTTGCTAACACCTTTTCCGTGTTATTTATATTTATGTTTTCGCTTGAAAAAGGTCTTTTCTTGAAGCTGTTCCTATATAGGTTTTTATACTTTTAATGAAAAGTTTCTCAAAATTTGAGAAGCTTCTGAAAGATCCTATACAAGGCAACCAAATACTGACTGCATTTGGCCCAGTATTTCCTTTTGTGGTTTCAGCTGAGGCTGTGATGTTTATGAAGATCAAGTTCTGACTTACTCCTTTATATTTCTCCAGCTATAATAGGGAATTTAGCTTTCTTTGGGACATCCTGCTATTATAGTGACATTTGTGAAACTAATAATACTACATTCTAAGAACAATAGCAATACAAGTTTGTCTGAAATGATTCAGCTATAAAGCCTAGCAGTTAATCTGTATAAACAGGAAGCAAGTGTGTAACTACTCATCTGTAAAAGGTTACGGGAGTGTTTCCAGATAATTTCCTCTTAGAGTGTCAGATAAGTGATTTTTTTTTTTTTTGGCCTTTTTGAGACAGGGTCTTCCTGCAGCCCCAGCTTGCCTGGAACTCACAGAGATCCGCCTACCTCTGCCTCCAAAGTGCTGGCCTTAAAGGTATGTGTCACCACACCCATCATATAAGTGATAGTTTGTTCAAACTGTTCATATTTAATTTTCACTTGAGAACTCGTGCTGACCAGAGGAATCCATTGACCAACCGATATTTTAAGCTACCAAGTAAACTATTTGTTGAAGTCTTTTATGCAGAGAAGCAGAACTCTTACCTCTTTGAATATATTTTCATCATCCCAAAGCCATAAGATGATGTTTCTTTGGAAACAGGTTTTTGTATATTTCTTTTGGGTTTTTTTATTCAATACATAATAAGCAAGACTATTCCAAAGAAATGTAGTCTTACCTAATAATTACCCTTGACCTGATTGTTTTTGCATTCCCTACGATGAAAAAAGTTTAATAAAGGGAATTTTTGAAAACTCAAAAAATTACAGTAGCTTAACATTCTTTTCTCTTTAGAAAAGTACAGAGGTACATTGTTAGCCTTCTGGTCCTTTGTCAGAGTGAGTTGCTTATCTTACCTGTGTGCAAATTAATTTTAAGTTTTCTTATTTCAATAACAAATAACAATAGGAATTTATTATGTTTGTGAGGGAGAAACTTTCTTATATTCCTATTTAAAAATCACATCTTTAACAGATATCTAGAAAAAATCATTGCTAAAAGGAATTTTCTTTATCTATTATTCTTTTACTTAAGACTTTTTTTCTTAGTCTTTTTTGAGACAGGGTCTCCTTGCAGCCCCGGGTGGCCTGGAAGTCGCTATGTAGACCAGGCTGGCCTCAAACTCCAGAGATCTGCCTGCCCCTGCCTCCCAAGTGCTGGGATTGAAGGCTTGTGCCCCCATGTGAAGTTACTTAAGACTTTTATTCTGGGGTGGGGGTATACCTCAGTAATAGACTGTTTGCCTAGGATGCTTGAGGCCCTGTGTTCAATCCCCAGCATCACACATATGAAAGACTTGTATTATCTGTTTCAGAGTATGTGCTTTCATTAAATATTTCAGAATTGCTCGTTTTTCCCCTTGGGCTATGTGATGATTTTTTTTTTCAGTGTCCTTATCAAATTTTGAGTATTTGGTTGTAGTCAGCTAGTATTATTTTGTCCTATTGACTGTCATGATGCCTTCTATTTGAAAGGCCCCTGAAACCTAAACAGGCTTTGTTATTTTTTTCCTGTTTTCAGTGTGATTCGTCATAGAGATGTTCGAGCCTGTCACTATGGTGTGATAGACAAATTCCGCCTCCAAGTTTCTGAGCAAAGCCAGAGGAAGGCTTTAGGAAGGAAAGAGGTGATTGCTACTCTTCTCCCATCAGCAAAGGAACAACAAAAGGAAGAAGAGGAAAAAAGAATAAAAGAACATTTAACAGAAAGTATATTTTTTGAGCAGTCGTATCAACCAGGTAGTATTGTTTTTAAAACCCTTTTAAATTCATAAACATTTTCAACTTGAATCAGGGAGCTAAAAAATTACTAGCCACATAATCCACCATTTTAAACCTAGTCAGCATTTCAAAATGGATCTTAGAGAATTAGGTACCTGAAACAGAGAAAAAAGCTGAGCCTAGAAGAAAGTAACCCTCACTAGATTAGGATGTAAGTAGTGGGCAGTTGCCACTGTAGGCTTGAAATCTATGTGAAATATATATATGTATATCTCCAATATATCTTCAATTGAACAGTATAGGCACCATACTTTATAATGCTAATACAGTTTAGCAATTATGTACTATTGTTTCTATGACTTTGCTATATCCTTTCTCATTTAATTAGTTTGAACAAAGAGAGATTCATTTTGGCAATAGGCCAAGCTTAGTGCACTATTCATATTATTTTGAAAAAAAATCTCATTAAAGTTGAAGTTAATTAAACTAAGTAGATTATAATATCCCCTGTGGGCTATTAATTGAATCCCTCTCTATTCTTCATTTCCTTCCAGCTTAGATACTCAGAGGTGTTATGATATATACTTTCAACATTGATATTATCCTCATAATTCAACTTTCAGACGTCATTCTTCTTCCCTCCCAACTTCTAAGTATTTCCCACCAACCCTGTTATAAGACTAGGGAGATAAAATTTTCCATAGAAAAACAGAAATTTTCAGATAGAGATATGAATGTGATACCAACTGTCCCTGAATTTGAAACATATAAACCAGGTGTGCTGTCACATGCCTGTAATCCCAGCATACCAGCTGAAGCAGGAGGGTTGCCATGAGGGCTACATAGTAAGACTGTCTCAAAAAATGAAATGAAAGAAAGTGAAACATGGGGGATATTTTAAAATTTTACTTGTCATTATATCAACTCATAGATCTTTTGATGAAGGGGAACATTTGACTGATGTCGTGGTCCAGAGCTTTAAGTCCATGGATTAGGAGGTGGTGGGAGGTGGAGGCAAGAGAATCAGGAGTTCAGGGTCATCCTTCATTACATAGTGTTCAAGGCCAGCTTGGGCTAAATGAGACCCTATTACAAAAAAGAAAACAAAAAAAGAGAAAACGTCTGTGAAAAACCATTTTATCACACAGAGTAGTTACACAGTAGATGTGTGAATAGGTCTAATAGGTAGGTCCATTTGCAGCCCAGGCAAAAATGTCTCATTGATGGATTGGCACTCTACTGTCCCTCATTATGTGGCAATAAATTGATTAGAGTCATTTTTTTCCACAGTAGTAGGAATCAAACCTATGAGGTTGTGCTGAGCTCAAATGTCAAACTAGATGTTTTCCTGAGTCCCTCCCCCACTAGGAGGCTTTAAAATGTTTTTTTTTTTTTCAAGTTGCTAGCTTAGAAAAGAATTTAACCAGAGCATGGTATTATAAGTGCAGAGTGTAATAGGACTCACTGTTAGCTGGAAAATGGATAAAGGGTACATTCTGAAACATTTGGATTTTAAAATATGTTAAGAGCTAGGGCGGTGCACACCTGTAATTCCAGAACCCAGGTGGATGAAACAGGAGGATCTCCAGTTTGAGGCCAGCCTTGACTAAATAGTGACACCCTAAAATTAAAATTCAGTAAAATGAGCTTGGCGTGGTGGTGCATGTCTTTACAAGAAGATCTCAAGTTCAAGGCCAGCCTGGTCTACATACTGAGTTCCAGACAATCTGGGGCTACAGGGAGGCCCTGTCTCAAAAAGACCAAAAAAAAAGTTCAGTAAAATGAAAAGTTTCTTATTTTTATTTATTTTTTTAAATATTTTATTTGTTATTTTTATGTGTATGCATGTATTGCCTACATGTAAGTTAAGTGCTTTCATGTCGTGCAATGCCCGCAGAGGACAGAGAGGCTGTCGGATCCCCTGGAACTAGAGTTATGGGCAGTTCTTAGCTGCCATGTGGGTGCTGGGATTCAAACCCGGGTCTTCTGCAAGAACAGCCAGTGTTCTTAACTGCCGAGCCATCTCTCCAGCCCCAGGTTTCTTATTTTTAATGTATAAAATCATACAGCATGCCAGACATGGAGGCACATACTTGTGATTCTAGCACTCAGAAGGCATAGCAGTAGGAATACCACAAATTCATGGCCATCATGGGCTATAGAGTGAGTTGGAGGCCAGCTAGGGATACATACAAAGGCCCTATCTTAAAAGATTAAACTTCATATTGCATACCTATAGTCCCAGCACTTGGGAGGTAGAGGCAGGAAGATCAGGACTTCAGAGTCATCCTATGTTACATAGTTTTAGGCTAGTCTGGGACACATGAGACCTAGTCTCAGAAACAACAACAAAAACTACAGTATCAAATTCAGAAAAAGAAAACAACCCTATAATTCCATATAGTTAATAAATTGGCTTATATAAATGTTCCATGTTACTTTATAGACCATCTCTATGAACATAAATTTTATTTTTGTGTCTTTTGGGGGGGTTCTTTTTGAGACAGGGTCTCCCAGCTGTCCTGGAACTCACTATGTAGACCAGGCTGGCCTTGAACTCTCAGAGACCCATCTACCTCTGCCTCCCAAGTGCTGGGATTAAAGGCGTGCACCACCACACCCGGCTGTTTTTTGTGTCTTTTTTTTTTTTTTTGGTCTTTTTTGAGACAGGGTCTCCCTGTAGCCCCAGCTGACCTGGAACTCACTATGTAGACCAGGCTGGCCTCAAACTCATAGAGATCCACCTGCCTCTGTCTCCCAAGTGCTGGGACTAAAGGCGTGCGCCACCACGCCCGGCTATTTTTGTGTCTTTTAATGTAACAGAAATACACTGTTAAAATTAAGAGAAACACATAAAATATGCATTTATAAAATAGTAGAGCCCAGGCTATTAAAGACATTTAAAAGATATAGCTACATATTGGTGGGTTTATCCTAATTACCATGATGAACTGTTGTGTCTTTGTCACGTTTGAGTCTGTACCCTCTGCCTTCAGAAAATTAGGTTCCTCATTATTGTTTGTAATAATAAAACCTGAAAATAACCTAAAAGTCCATCAGTTGGGAACCGATTAAATTATGAGTGTTAATAAGATAGAATGCCAGGCAGGCATTTACAAGGATCTAATAGAATGATGTTTGTATACTGACGTAGAAAAAGCTTCATATTAATTAGTGAAGGGGGAAGCAGTTATAAAATATATGGTATTAAGCTGGGCATAATCCCAGCACTTGGGAGGCAGAGGCAGTTGAATCTCTGTGAGTTCAAGGCCAGCTTGGTCTACACAGTGAGTTCAGGCCAGCTGTGGCTACAGGGAGACCCTGTTTCAAAGAGACCAAAAAAAAAATATATGTGTATATGTAGGTTCTTGGGTGTGGGTGCAGGTGTACATGTGCCACAGTGTATATATGGAAGTCAGACAATCTTAGGTGTCAATCTACCTTGTTTGACACAAGGTCTTTTGTTCACAGTTGTGTGTACATCAGGTCTCTACCTCTCAACTCCTCATAGCAGTATTCAGATTACAGACAAATGTGCTACTATGGCCAGCTTTATGTGGATTCTGGGGATTCAAACTCAGGTCCTTCCATTTAGTGCCCTTTACTCACTGAGCTATCTCTCCAACCCCTATTTTACATGTGTATGTGGGGATTTTGAAGATATACTTTTTATTCGTGCGTGTGTGTGTGTGTGTGTGTGTGTGTGTGTGTGTCTCCCTGGAAGCCAAAAGAAGATATCAGATTCCCTTTAGCTGGAGTTACAGGCACCTGGTGTTGTGAGCCACCTTATTTGGGTGCTGGGAAGTAAACTCAGTCCTCTGGAAGAGTAGAAAGTGTCTTAGGTCTTGAACCACCTCTCTAGCCCCTATATGGGCATTTGTAAACAGTTCTAACTGTATGAAGATGAGATAATGGAAAGAAATTTGTTTTCTACTTCTTAATTTTATTTTTGAGACACGTTCTTACTCTTTAGACCAGGTTACTCCTGATCTTCCTGCTTCCATCTCCCAAGTACAATTATAGATCCTAGTTTGAAAATTCTATAAATCCTAAAAATTTTTAGAAATTATCTTTTTTTTTTCTGAGATAAGCCTAGCCTGAAACTCACTACAAGTCTTGGTATGTAGCCCAAGCTAGTCTAGAACTCTTTATGTCAACCAGCTTGGCCTTGAATTTTGAGCAATTCTCTTGTTTCTACCTCCCAAGGCCTGGGATTTCAAGTGTATGCCACCACACCCAGCTGATTTTATCTTTACCATTAGTTGGCAGGAAACAGTGTAGTTGTCATATGTTTTTCATTAAAATCATTCTTGCAGTGAATATAGTTATTTCATTTGCAAATAAAATAAGATTTAAAAGAAATTTTTTATGCTATTGTTTCATCTCAAGCAGTAATCACTATGAAATTCATATTTGTTTTTACCTATTTAACTTCGGTGAAGTTCAATTAAATTTCACAACAGCTAAGGTATTAATAATTTAGAAAAGGTCCACCTAATAGAAGGAACAATATTATTTCATTAATAAAACACCAAGATTGTGTTGCTCTTGGCTATTCCTTTTAATGAAAGGAAGATTACTAGGAAAACGCACATAGTAGAAAATGCTGTTATTGTGTTTCTTTCTTAAATTTTTATTTATTTATAGTTCATGTGTATGAGTATTTTGTCTGCATGTATATAAGTGCACTAAGTGCATACAATGTCTATGGAGACCAGAAGAGGGTGTTGGACCCCTGCAACTGGATTTATGAATGACTGTTAGCTGCCTAGCCATCACTCCAAACCTATTATTATGTTCCTTTAAAAAGACGGGTATATATTGTACACATACACTCAGAACTATGTAATATTAGGCTTGTTAGCAGATCCTCTGTGTGTGTGTCTGTTATTAGCAATTAAATTTAGGGCCTTGCAAATACTAGGCAAGCACTCTCTATTACTGAGCTACATCCTTAGCCCTTTTATTTTAACATTTATTTTGTGTGTGTGTGTGTGTGTGTGTGTGTCTGTGTCTGTGTATGCACATGCATGTATGTGTCGGGGTACATAAACTCTTGCCTCCACCTCCCAAGTTCTGGGATTGCAGGCATGTACCACCATGACCATGTTTATTTTTATTTTTATAGCAGATCCTGTGTGTGTGTGTGTGTGTGTGTGTGTGTGTGTGTGTACTTGTCTGTGTGTGCAAATGTGGAGGCCAGATGTCAGCATTGAATGTCTGCCTCTGTTACTCTCCACCTACTTTTTTGAGGTAGGGTCTCTCACCTAACCTGTAGCTCACTGTTTTCCAATAGACTAGCTGGACAGCAAGCCCCAGGGATCTGTCTGTTTTGTCCTCCCTCCTATCCCCCAAGCAGGGTTATAGGTACATGATATCATGGGTACTGGGATCAAACTTGGGTCTTTATGCTTGTGCAACATGAAGTTTACCCAATTATTCATCTCCCCAGCCCAGCATTTATTTTTGAGACTGGGCTCCTCTAAGTTGTTGACACTGGCCTTAAACTCTATATGTAACCCAGGCTGGTCTCACAGTTTCAATGCTCTTGCTTTACACTCTGGAGTATATGGGATTATAGGCATGTGCTACCATGCCCAGCCATATCTTCAACATTTTAATTTTAAGAATATTCAGCAAGACACATAGTTTGCTATAGCACAGACTGGCCTTGAACTTGTGATCCTCTGACCTCAGCCTCCTGAGTGTTGGGATGATATGCTTACAGCACTGCATCAGGCTCTCAACTGATTTTTAGGTGTACCATATAGTATTGCTAACTCTGGGTACTATGGTTTAGAGCATGTCTCTAGAACATATTTCATATCACAAGATTGAGACTTATGTGCACTGATTAGCAACTCCTACTAGCATCTTCTCCCAGGACCTGGCAGCCATCATTCTACCCTCTGCTTCTGTGAGTTTGACTGTTTTAGATCCTTGATACAAGTAGAATCATAAACAATTTGTTTTTTTCAGTGACTACCTTTCTTCACTTAGTAGAAACTTACCAGATGTTTTTAAAGTTAACTTATTTTTATTTTATGTGCACTAATGTTTTTCCTGCATGTATATAAGTACACCACGTGTGTACAATGCCCACAGAAGTCAGAAGAGGGCATTGAATCCCCTGGGACTGGAGTCACTGACTGTTGTTAGCTGCCATATGGGTGCTCAGAACTTAACCTGGGTCCTCTGCAAGAGAAACCACCCCTGAGCCATTTCTCCAGCTCCTTACCAGATGTTTTTGTTGCTTTCTTCTTTTCTATAAACGAGGTAGAGCAGAAGGCAAGAACTTTCATAAGGAAAAGTAATAACATTCAAGTAGTGCCTTTCTGATACCTTAACATTTTCTTTTTTAAAATTATTTTTATTTTTCATATGTGTATGAGCGTATTGCCTGCACGTATGTACATGCACCCATGCCATGTAATGCCTGCGGAGTTCAGAAGAGGGCATTGGATCCCTTGAAACTAGAGTTATACACGGTTGTTAGCTGCCATGTGAGTGCTGAGAATCGAATCTGGGTCCTCTGCAAGAACAGTCAGTGCTCTTAACCACTGAGCCATTGCTCCAGCCCCGGTACCTTAACATTTCAAAACTGGTAGCAGGATGCTGCAGTTACTAAAATGAAACCTGCGTGAAGATCTCCCTGAGATGTTCCCAAAAGGTAGTGCAGCTCTAGTGTAGTGTGCACAAATGGAGTATAAATGCTCCTAGACTCATGATGGGGCCATGTCCCAATTAACCCATTGCAAATTGAACATGTCACCTTTGGAAAATTCATTGAATACCCCTAATGTAAGAGCACCATTGCTTAGCCACATGGTCTGCTGTAGTGTGTCGGTTGTTTCCTCTTGTGATTGCTATGCTCATTGAGAGCCACAACTCACTGCTGGTGCCCAGTATGGTAACTAGTTTACCATGCATGAAAATTCACAATTTTGCATGTGGTTTCTGTAATGCATACTGCAGTTGCACCACCATAAAGTTCTATAATGCATATTGCAGTTGCACCACCATAAAGTTTTGAGCCATATTAAGTCAGGGCTTGTTGATATGCACAAGCAATCTACTGGTGTACAGGAAGCAAGTATTGAATGTCAATTCACTTTTCGTGCATTCTTTTAGAAATCTGTATTTTATATAGTAGTATAGAAGTCATGTGTACAATTTAAAAATACATAGATATTGGGGTATTGTGAAATGGCTCAGCAGTTAAGAGCATTGGCTGTTCTTACAGGAGGACCCAAGTTCAGTTCCCAGAATTCACATGGTGGCTAACAGTCCCCTCTAAGTACAGTTTCAGGGGCTCTTTCACCCTCTTCTGGTCCCCATGGGCATTGCATATACATGGTGCACTTACATACATGCAGACGAAACACTCATAACATGCAAAATAAAAATTCATTAAAAAACACACAGGTATTAATGATTTATTCCCAAATGACTATTTTCTATTATAGTCTAGGGTCAGGCAGTGGGGAGTTTGAAACCACTGTTTTTTTCAGTAGGGAGTTCACTATCTTCCTGTGATATTTCAGCAAATCAGCCTGTAATGACTGAGAATTAAGTTCTAGTTTCCATATAAGTGCAGTGTGTGAGTCTTCATGAAATAGGAATACTGGGGATGGGTTGATAGAAGTAAGCCAAAAGGCAGTACAGGTGAGTGGTGTGGTTGCTCTGTCTGAAGGAACTTATGTCCTAAGCTGTTTTTAGAAGCCAGCTCAGGGTTTAAATTTTTTTTTTTTACAGAAAACAGAACTGTCTCTTCAGGACCTAGTTTGCTAACTGTCTTCCTGGGAGTGGTATGTATTGCGGCCTTGATGCTGCCTACTCTGGGGGATATGGAATCGCTGGTGCCTCTCTACCTCCACTTAAGTGTGAATCAAAAATTAGTGGCTGCTTATATCTTAGGTAAGGGTTTTAAAGATGAATTGGTATGTGTATTTACATGTAGGGTTTTATTGATTTACAATGGTATAGCACCTGTATAAATTGCATACATTTGAGCCAGTCACAGAAGTGTACTTGATAGCTGGAAGAAGGAGTATCAGGTGTTCAAGGTCATCCTTGGCTACATAGTGAGTTTGAGGCCAGCCTGGGCTATAGGAGGCAATCTCTTTTCCCCTCACCTTTCCTCTGATACCAACTCTTTCTTGTATTTGCTCTCAGTATTCCTAGTGTATTTTTATTTTCCTATTTATTTATTTTTATTTTAAATTTCTTTGAGACAGGGTCTCATGTAGCCCAGCTGTCCCACTATGTGTCCCACGCTGGCCTCAAACTCATGATGGTCCTCTTGATTCTGCCTCCCAAGTGTTGGAACTATAGGCATGTGCTACCATGCCCGGTTTTCTTTTCTTTTCTTTTTTTTTAATTGCTCTCTCTATTCTCTCCCTACCTTCTGTGTTCCTACTCTCCTTGTTCCTTCCCCTTTGACCTTACCCCCCAAACAATCTATCACATTGCTGTGAGGTTGATTTCCTTTCCGTTTTGGTTGCATGATTGTTCCTTACTCTGAAAGACCTTAATTGGTTCCCCAAAGTCCACAGGAAGAAGTATAGCTCTATAGTTTGACATTTACAGCAACTCTCAGTGGTAGAGACCTCAATGAACCGATTTTGTCTAGGTGCTCCACTTTATAAATCCTTGAGTAGAGTCTTTTGAATGATTTATTGATTCCACAAAAGCTCATCTAGAACCATGGGCTGCCTCCTAGAGTCTTGATTGTGCAGTGCCATCACTTGAAATACCTACCAATATTCTGGATCTTTCCTGTCCATCCTCCAAGAATTATCTCAGCTTTTACATTTGGAGACAGATTTTTAGACTGCCCCAGTCCTATGTGATTATCTTCCTCTCTCTCTCTCTCTC